TTCTTAGAGTGTCAGAATGGAACCTCAGGTCCCCCCGAGACAGTCTTTACACCCATAGGTCAGATGAGTCAGTAGTTCAGCCTCATAAATCTGCTTAGGGCTGGCCTAAGACAGTTTTAGTGCCTGTGGGAGTACTGCAAATGCCTCCCCACCTCCACACTCAGCTCAAAATACACAGTGCACATGATTGACCAAGTCATTTGGGCACCTGAGAAAAAGAAATCCCACAAGTGACTCTCCTTGGCAGTAAATATAACATTAATAAATTAAATAACTAGTGATTTACTGAGTTGGCTATCTCATTCCACCTAACAGGTAGCCAGTCATGAACCTGCATAACATCCTCTTTGCCTGATATACATCCTAAACAATGGACATCCTGTAGAGCTCCAGAATGATTACGGATTTCATGTGACGTTTCTAACACTTTCAGCAGCAGATTCCCACAGAGCCAAAGCACAAGATTTGTTGTCCCAAAATTCTCAAAAGTATTACATCTGATATTTGGCCTATATGCCTGGAGATTCATGGCAGATGCATAATCTTACCAATATCTCTCAAAATAAGGATCAGGAAGTGCTTTTTTTAAAGGCATGTCTACAGTACTGCAGTTCACAGACATTGGATTGCACCTGGCCTCCATGAGATACATTGTGTGCAGTGGCAAATTTAAGGAACCTAGAGACATTAAAGCGGAACAACAGTTGTGAACAGAGTTTCAAAACTGGCGGGATTAATGCAAGTATGAGTTAATGTGATTTAAAGCCTAAACAGCAGCATGACATATACCAGGCCAGGAATACTGCAGATGAGAAATACTATGCTTGCAATGCACAAAGCAAGAGGTAATTACATCATGGAACTTGCTACAATAGGGTGTAGAGATGGTTACCTAATCTAATATTAGATACATTCATGGAGAATAAGGATGTCGGTGGCTACTAGTCATGGTTTTGCATTCTCTCCAGTATCAAGGGCTTCTTTATACAAATTGCTGGGTGAGCCCAAGAGGGAACAGAATGCTGGGCTAGACTGGCCTTTGGCCTGCAGTTCATACAAGAGGGCTTATGAAAGATACCACTGAAGAATCCCACTACAAGCACTTTGGCTCTTGCCACCATGTTCTGTAGTGAAAGATGCTGTTGATGCTATGGTAATGCAAATACCTCCATATTACAGCCCCAGCATATCTTAGAATGTATGTATTCAGGCAACCTCATTTATACAGGCAGGAATATCAGCTATAGGATGACATGGTCAAAGGTTCTTTAGTTTGTAGTACTGAAAACAGCTGTTTAGATTCATATCACAGATCAGGAACACAATCACTGAATTATGCTTCTTTGCTTTTAAAGAGTGATTAATAAAGGAACACTTAACATCTTGTACTGTAAGCAGGAAGAAAGCCAATTATTCTTACTTTTTCCCCCTCCCAATATTCTTGCTAATATAGGCAAGAGTTTGCCATACTGAGAGATGCTAAAGGGGAAAGCTACATTTTTAAAAAGCTATTCTATTAGACATAGCAGCATCATTTATTTTTACCTATGCACAAGCAGTTCTCTATGTAACTATAATATAGTCCCAAGTATTTACTGTGGGTATGTATTTCCATGACAATCTTGAGTAAACCTGCGCACTGAATGACATTCTAACCTCTTAAGCTTTTTTAGACATCTCCCAACTGACAAATAAATGAAACCTGAAAGTGGACCTACTTAGCTTAAGGATGTTTTGAGAAGACTGGAAATGTTACTAAGTAATTCTTAAGTTGTAAACCCCAAATTATGCTATACTTCACTTGAAGAAAAAGGAAATGGTGCATCATATGAGTAAAACCTTCAGGATAAAAAGGGCAGCATGATTTATTTAATTCTGCAACAGTACGTGACTAATTACATGCACTGGTGCAATGGCATTCAAGCCTCTATTATTGGATCACTACAACTGCTCTGGATTATTATAACTGGAAATTCTGTATGCACAACTCTCTCCAACAGCTGTAACCTATAGAGTTTTATGCAAAGGTTTTGTAGTATCCATTCAAATACAAAACACTACATTAATATGTCTGCATCTTAAATACACAATATGGTTCTTCAGAAGTTTAACCTTTGTCCTTAAAGGTGTCTATTGAATAGTATGTAAATTAAAAACAGCTGCAAGTGAAAACTATAGGAAGGGACCATAGCAAAATGGGGCAGTATACACATTGAAGGTAGAAAGTCCAAGTTCAGTCCTTTGCATCTCCATTTAAAATGATCTGGAAGCAGGTTGTAAGACTGTGGCCTGAGGCCCTGGAGAGACTGTGACAGTAAGGCAAGGCCATTTCGGTCTAGAAGGTGAACAAAGAGCTTGACCTGATATGAAGAGCTTCCTATGTTCCTCTGCCTCATGACAAAGCAGTTTGTGATACACCGGTGGGATTGGGGGGGAGGGGGTGATACCTGCCAGGGCAAGGTGTATTTTGCACATTATCCCCCTGCTTATATAGTCCACTAGATGTGTACACATATTTGAACTGGAATCTACTTTGATCTTTCAGCAGTAAACAAAGACCACAATGAACAGCTCGGACATTAAATTTAAACTATCTAAACACTAGCAAATGTCCCAACAAGGCATGATCCAGGTCCATGCATGGAGGGATCCTCAAAATGCTTAACACAGCTGTTTTCTCCACCTCCCTCCATCCCAGCCCACATGCAAATAAAAGCATGCCAGGCCATTATGAGGAATGGAAAGCCTATGCGAGCTTCACCTCCCATATCCCTGTCCCACCTTTAACACCCTGTATGATCAAGGGATGTGAGCTCTGAGCAGAGAGAGGAGCAGGGCATATGTCGAGTCTGATCAGCAAGAGAAGCCGTAACAGTAACCAGGAGTTGCTCACCAGGTACACCCATTGTCCAGATTTCCATGACTGATTAATTTTACCAAAATATAGGAACACAGATTTTTCCTTTCTAAAACAGTTAACGAACTGTCAAAATCCCTTTAACATTTAATTAAGCTACAAAACATAACTCTTCCTCTAGCACCGCTGTCTATGGAAACAGAAAGGTTTGACTGACACAGATCCAGTTGTGCTTATAATCTGTCCAACAATCAGAGTCGAGATTCTTCAAAACTGTCAGTAGATTTGTTTATCTCAAGCAGTCCTCCTCAGCCGTGTTCCCTTCAGATGTTTTAGCCTACAACTCCCAGCATTTCTCAACTCTGACATGCTGGCTGGTGCTGATGGAAGTTAGTCCAAAATATCAGGAAAGGGGTGGGGAGGAACAGATTGGGAAAGACTGATTTTAAAGCACTGCTATTAATGCTGTTCATCCAGAAAGCTGCTGAACTAGCTTAGAGATTAATAAAAATAAGCTTGCCCCTTGACCACAGGCTCAAAATCTAAAAATATATGTATGAAGAAAACAAAAGATGGAAAGGGAAGTGGAAAATAAGGTGACTCAGGGATCAGTTCCTAAAGTTATACCAGATGCTACCAATAGCATGCTGCTATTGGACGGCTTCCAACAAATTAAGAAGATGACCACCTAGAAGAAGAAAAACCAAAAACTGACGTTCTCTCAAGGGAGCAAGTGAAGTGGCCATGTTTTGTCTCCCTCCTTCTGCTATAGCCTGATGAACCAGCTGCTGGAGGATGAGCACAAAACCCAGTGAAGGCAGTTTCTCAACAGAGCTCACAGTGGTCCCCTGACCTTCTCCGCCTCTTCTACAGGCTGAAGAAGTGCCAACCACTAAGAATCAATTTTCTCTTTCCTAGTTGACAACATTAAAAATAGGGTAATTATTCTATTGCTGTGAAGAGGGGAAAAATCCCTTACACAACATGATGTGATTGTTAGGGTGAGGAAAAATTAAGAGCTGCTTTCAGAAGTGAATAGGCTATATACCACTAGCCTAAGCCCTTTAGTTTTTAGAGTCTTCCAGTCTTTTACTGTTTTCATGACTTGTAGGATAATGAAGTAATCAGGTAAACTCTGATGCTTTTTATACCTCTAAACACCACCGTAGGAGTGAAACAAATTTAGCGAACAGCACTATTACACACTATTTCAATGAAAATCAGAACTGTTATTTTCTGCCTAATTTTCGGCGCCAGGTAAAGACCTTTTTATTTAAACATCATTTCAATTGTTAAAACATATGATCTGGCCTGGGCAACTTCTTCTTCCTTCTCTTTCTCCTCCTATATTTTTATTTTATACTGATAATTTTAATTTTGTATTTGTAAATCAATGTATTTTTTGTATTTTTATATTTAATGGTAATTTATCATGTACTATTGTATTTCAATGTATTTTATCATGTTGTAAGCCGCCCCGAGGTTTCGGCAAGGGGCGGCATAGAAATGTTATAATAATAATAATAATAATAATAATAATAATAATAATAATAATAATTGTAAGGATTATTAGATGGATTGTTTGCTTGCCATACATTCAAATTATTACTTGAAATAACTTGCTAATTTTATTTGTATTCTTTTAAAATAATTTAATATCTTGCTTTAAATAAGAATCTTTTAGATGTTTGTATGTAACAGTGTTTTGATTCTTATGGCTACAATCTCACTACCCCTGAGATTTCCCACTCTGATCTCTCATCTCCCTTCCTTCTCTTACAAGGGTAGATCTGACACTGCAGAAGGAGATGATCTTGGTGTAGGAAGAATGGGGAAAATGCTGGATTCACTGTATGCAGAGCCCTCCAACAAGCCCTCAAGTTTTCTTACAACATCATGACAGGAGGAGTTTTAAAAAGCAAACAAGGAAGAACAGAGCAGCACACTTCTCTCCTTCCTTTAGTCCACCTTGTTGGCAGGAGCATGGTAATGTTTAGGAAATGTTGGAACACTCTGAACAAACAGCAGATTGTCTTGCCCATGTTTCTGTTTGTCAGGGATCATTTCTGTTTTATATTATTAAAAAAAAAGAGAGAGAGGAGCAAACTGCGATCCCAGAATATATCCAGAGTATTTTACTTACAAATTCATAATCACCATCCTGAGGTACTCTCCAATCTGAGGAATATCTTTCAGACACCTGCCTCCCGTAGTTGTTTCTCCGATTCTCTTTTTCTTTTTGTTCAAAATATTCAAGGAAAGATGGTCTGACAGACTGCATTGTTTCATCTCTCCCTACAAATATAAGACAGAAGTATCACTTTCATTAATTCAAAGGCAAAATATTTTATGCCCCATTAAACAAAATAATTGCCAACCACATTGCTGCCAGCAATGCCCACAATTGATAAATAGAGATGTTAATTTTAAAAACTCCTGAATAGGAGTAAATACTTGAAGATTTTTGAGAAAAGACAGACACTCTCACTTAAATAGAAATCAGAGGCAGAGAAGAGAACAGGTTTTAGAATCTAGAAATAGGAGTGTTAGGAATATAATAGATGGGGTTCCTACTCTTTTAATCACTCATGTCCAGAACCTTAGGCTGTTTATACATCAATGTCTGCACCACAGAGCCCAGGTTACAGCATCAGGAATATACATTACCAATTCCACCGGGTGAGAAGGTGGTGGCTCTCTTTGTTTCACGTACTCATTATTTATACCTTTGAGATGACACTACTCCAATGAATTTTACATTATGTTGGGGCTAAACACTGAATATTGATCCTTCCCACCATTCAGACACTGATAAAACAGACCCAGCTGTCTTCCAATTGGCACTGGTTTTGACCAAAAAACCATTAAAATACTTTAGCATCTGCTCCATTCCTTATAATTCCATCAAAGAGCTTTAAATTAAAATCATATTGAAGATACATCCTGTTATCAAGAAGCTGTATCACTGCCATTTTAAGCTTCCTATTATCTCAATTTCTCCTGGGGAACAAGAATCAACTGGAGGCATGAGGAGCAAGGGCAGTATGCATCCACTGCCCTCATTGTAACATATAAACTAGGAATAGCCTATCCTTGCTATAGAAAGAGGAGTGAAAATTTCAATACCTCACTGGGTATAGAGTTCCTACTGCAATCAAGGCATCCCTCAGGGACAACCCTTTAACTGGGCTCTGTGGAAAAGAAGCTTCATTCCAAAGCAGTCTCTGTAAGTACATCAACTTTCATTAGTAGTAAGGTTAAAGACCTCCACTCTGGTTTTCACAGAGGATCCTTTTCCCCCAAGTTCCTATGGTAAACAGCATGATATAATGGTTAGACAGTAAAGCTGGGATTTGGAAAACCAGGGTTCTACTCCCCACTTGGCCATGAAGCTCACTGGGTAACTTTGGACCAGTCACTGGCTCTTAAGCTACCCTACTTCACAAGTTTGTTATAAGGATAAAATGGAGACAAGAAGAGAACCATGCAAGTCACCTCAGTTTCCTTGCTTAAATAATAAATATGGAATGCAGTTGTAAGAAAAATGTATTATCCCTACCCACTCGTCATCTACTTGCTTTGCTTTTTGGAAGAATCTTTGCTCATATAGTGTAAGGAATACTTAATCTTCAGTACATTTTTCTCAGCCTTCTGCCTCTAGCTATTCCTACCTTCCAGCCCTTGCTTCCTCCTCCCTCTCTCACCCAGATTTTTTTTATTATTATTTTGCATTCAAAGTTAGGGCTGAAGGGACCTTAGAAAGTCACTTCCAGCCTTGGACATAGTGTATTTTGCAGGTCGAGATACTCAGTGATCCACATTTGTAACTACTAGTACAGAACTACTACTGCAGTGTTTTGCTTGACCAGGTAAGCCCTGCATCATGGCAAATCCTTGAATCCCATTTCTTCTTCTCAGATTAATGCCAGCGATATCTGAGCTTCAGCCCTTCTCTTCCTATTAGATTTATGTCTTCTGCCTGAACTCTTCCCTTCCTTTTCAACTGCGTAGCCTCAAGCATTTACATGGGTTCTCTCGGTCCAAGTCTAATTATACCCCATGGATGTCCATCTAGCTCATGTCAGCCTCCCCTCACGTTGTACTAGGCAGCACTTCCCACTATGCATTTAAGTCACTTGCATGTTTCTCTACTTATCTCTGTTTCTTCCCACCATTCTTAAACTTCTCTGTGGACTTAATTTGTTCCTGGTCCTATTCCAGTTTTATGTATATAATTATTGTATTTTTCCAATAAATATGTTTCCTGATCCAAAGAAAGAGCCCGAGCGAAGGTCTGGTGTTTGCTGGACATACAAAATCATGAACTGTGAGTCTAATTTAAAGATCGTTGTGTTACTCAGATACAGTTCATTTATTACATTTCTATACTACACAACAGCCAAAGTGCTTTGAGTGGCTTATAAAGTTCAAAACCTGAAAATACACTATGGTAATATAATATTAGCAATTTAAACAATCAACAATATAATGTCCCAGGACCCTGATTTCAAAACTGTGCATTATCAAGCACATCTATATTGGCTAACAATCCATGCACTGAACAGAAGTCTCATTCACGAGCTCCATAGTTCCCCCACAACTTCCACCCAGTGGATAAGACGACTTTTAGCAGCCAAAGTGAGACAGAGTTAGGTTGCCACCCTCTGCACACTGACATAGAACTAATCCTTACTGAATAAATGGCTTCTGAATATAAATGTATAGGACTGCTCCACTGAACATGTTATATAGAGAAAATCATATTGTGCAATATTTTATAACTTAATGGATATGCTCTCTCATTAGATTTATTGTATTCTAATGTGTTGCCAAGCTTTTCCACAAGCAGACAGGCCAGAAATAAAGCTTCTGCAACATAGATTGCATATTGCACAGCAAGATGTGTACAACCTGGCAATGGAAAGGAAAAGCTGAAGCTGCCATCCATCCACTGTCCTCTGATGTTTCCTTCATATTATTAAACATTTATAAAATGCTTTCCTACTGCATAACACTCAAAAGTGTTATACAACAATCTAAAAATAATGAAACCCACTCAATCATAACACAGAGAACAAGCCATTCAGAATGACAGTTTACATAAAACCTCCATCTTTGTCCTAGACAGAAGCAAAAGCCTGCTGAAGACAGTCACGTTTTTACTGTCTGCTCAGAAGAAGAGAGTGGGGGCCAATGTCATTCTCTGAGCTAGAAGCTCCACAACATCACTGAGAAAGTCCCCTGCCCCTGCCTCTCATTAACCTACATTCCTGGGCAGAAATCTTAAGCAAGGGCACCCAGCCTACCTCAGTAGACAAGAAGGAATATATTGAAAGTGGTACTTATTCTGTCTTATTTTCAGGCATGCTTATCCCAAATATGAGTGAAATGCTAGCAAATATCCAATAAATGTGCAGTTCTCGAAGATGCAAAGTTTTTATATTCTCAGAAAATGAATCCCCAGCATTGAACCCTTATTTCTCTGCTGCATTCTTATCTGTGCAACCATTAAAATGAGGGCCCTCCCAGGTACTCTAGAAGGAAATGGAGAACTCACAGGTTTGCAGAGTCAAATTTAAATACTCCTTGTCTATATTCTCTACATGGAATTCACAAAAGTGACCGTCATGTGTCTGCAAAATGAATCATGAAGAGGGGGGCCTTAAGGAGTCTTAGAATCATGAGTGTTCCAACATTATTTACCAAGATGACTCATAGCTAAATGCAATATTGTTTCCCAGTATGATGACTACTGCATTTATTATTCCACCTACACAGAGAGCAAGAGAGAGTTTCCTCTGCTGCATCAAATCAGTGCACTCTAAATAGTTAGACACAGGGAAAAGAGACCTTAAAATTGCAGTCTCTTACATATTGCAGTTGCTAGAAGGGAGCCATGTTACTGTACTAAGAGTATTGCTGCATCTTAAAGACTAACAAATTTATTCTGGTATAAGCTTTCATGAACTGTAGTCTATGAGCACTTAGGCCAGAATGCATTTTCGGTCTTTAAAGTGCTACAAGACTCTTTGTTGTTTTTATATAATGCAACAGATCTCCTCTGAACATTTTAAACAGCAGGTGTTGAAAGAAAAATGTACCAAAAGCAAAATTACATGCAATGGGTACAGGTCAAGGGGATAACATAAACAGAGTGAGAATTAGTCATATTTCTCAACTAGTTTGTGAAACAACTTAGGTCATTTACAGAGAAACAGGCACTTGAAATTATTTGCCAAAGCTGCACATGAAGTGACCCTCTTCCAAAGCAGCTTTTTATCAAATAGATGCTTTCCACACAGACTCCCATCTTTCTTCAGCAACCATTGGATCCGGCTGCTGTTAGGAAAAGCACCATAACTCATTGGTCAAGTACACATTTTGATGCCACGAAATGGCATTTGTAGGTTCCACTACACAGGCTTTATTTTTACGATCTTAGGTGGAAGGGCTGAACAGACTTTTACACAGGGGCATCACTGCCAGATTACACAGTGCTGGGTTTGCTGGTACAGCTCCATGCAAGACAGTTCGACACATTTTTTTACATGTGAAAGTGGAAACACAAATTAAAGCTAAAGTCAATTATCTCTGGTTTTCTTGATACTGCACTTATTACCTTTAAGCCTCAAGGTAAGATATAATGCACCCTTGTGTCATTTTAGTCTGCAAAATATGTGAGGGTAAACTTGGACTTGGGCAAATATTTCTCAGCCCTTCACTAAGAATATAACTTCATGCTTGTAGTTCTGCTTAAAGCAAGGGCAACGTGAGATTTTAACATGTCCTCTAATCAAGTCAGGTTTCAAGGAGCTGAGATATCATTTGTTCAGAGGACCAAGCCCTGGTAGGACACTAAGGGATTGTGGGGAGAGGCTAGTTCTCTCATCTCTTTGATTCCTGTTCAGGCGGTTTACTTCACCCTTACTCCAAGAGATAAAAGATACCAGCCACATTTTCTCTCTCTGGAAGATAAACGCTATGGGTAGCAGCACGTGGAGGAAACAGATTAAATGGAAGAGTATTAAACAGTCCCACTCCAGTTTCTAGTTCCATTACCCAAAGAATAATAGAAACAGAAATAAAGGTTCAAAGGGAAAAAAGGAAACCTTTGGATGCAACCCAAGGTGTAGTTTTGCCTAACTTTCACAGTCAATGATGATTTGAAAATGATTTTTAACTGTTTTAAAACTCCACAGCCTTCTTTAATTGGCTCAACGAACAGAGATATTCTGCTATATTATTTTATTCTTGCATTTATCTTTTCAATATGCATGTATGTAGTTATACACATC